TCCAGTTTTTGTTTTAGAGGTAGAAATTACCTCCAGTGAATTGTACAAATTTTAACAGTAATAGTTAATGAGTTTTGACAAATGCATGTAACCATGTAACCCAAACCCCCAACAAGTTTTTATCACCCCATGAAGATTCCTTATGCCCCTTTCTAGCCAATTCTTGTGCCTGTCCCCTCTCAGAGGCGGCTGCTATTCTGTTTTCCCCATAAATTAGTTTTGCCTTTTCTTGTTCCATTTTTTAAAAAAGATTTATTTGAGAGAGCGCGAGCAGGCAGTGGGAGGAGGGAGAGAGAGTCTTAAGCAGACTGCACTGAGAGCGGAGCCCAACTCAGGGCTTGATCTCAAGACCCTGAGATCATGACCTGAGCCAAAACCAAGAGTTAGATGCATAACAGACTACACCACCCAGGACCCCTCTTGTTCCATTTTTTTAAATGGTTTTGAGTTCAACTTTTAAGTCATCTCAGACCCTTTTTAGAAATAGGTGGAGGGTGCCTGGGTGGCTCAGTTGGTTGAGCAACTGCCTTCGGCTCAGGTCATGATCCTGGAGTCCCCGGATCGAGTCCCGCATCGGGCTCCTGGCTCAGCAGGGAGTCTGCTTCTCCCTCTGACCCTCTTCCCTCTCATGCTCTCTCTCATTCTCTCTCTCTCAAATAAATAAAAAAATAAAATCTTAAAAAAAAATAGGTGGAATATACTAAGTCAGGTAAGATAAATGAGCCTGTGTAATAATGAAACTAAAATTACATAAGAGTTACAAATCAAAATTATAATCTTCTTCCAAAATGACAAAGACTTTTTTAAAAAAGAGAATATATGTAGAAACTGGCATTCTCATACACATCCAGAAATGTAAATGGATACCAATATTTCTAGAGGACAATTTGGGAACAAAAAACTTTAAATCTTTGTGATGCTTTTAATCTACTAATATAAATTCCCACTTTGGGAAACTTGAGATAATTAAAGATGTGTATAAATCTATAAGAATATTCACCATAGCACTATTTATTTTAGCAAAAAGCTGGAAGCAAAGTATATGACCAACAGAAAGAATTATGATAGATCCCTCCAGTAATTGAGGAGTATATTCTGAAGACAAAGAGAACTACCAAAAAAGAATGAACTTTATGTAGTGGGTTTATTCTTAGAGTAATATTTGTATTGTAATTCTGACATTATTTCATGTTTATTACAGACTAAAACACAAAAATATTAAGGAATAAAAGATATTAAATGTAAAATACAAATATAAAATTTTTTAAAGGAAGGGAAAGCTCCATATAGTGTTACATTTTAATTAGAAATATCACTGTGAACTCATGATTTTTTAAATATGTATTTCTAATGAATTCTATTGAAAGGATTTAGGAACAATGCCACACCACTAGCAATGAACGCACCTCGCATATAAGTATTAATTCGTAAGTACCATTTTAACTAAAAGGAACCAGAGCTTCTTGGATTCCAGGTCTGAGGTAAAATACAAGGTGAAGCTAGGATATTTTATTGTACCAGAAAGCAAAGAAGTGCTCAAAAACTCAAGTCAAAAGTCAACTTCAGTGGACTCCCACTCACCAATTCGGTACAATTTGAGTATCAAAGGTTGTGATGAGGTAACTGAGTAAAATATATCCTTGAGACCACAATGATAATAAATTACATACGTAAATAAAAGAGAAAGGGGGATTTCTCCTTTAGAGAAGAATGCCAGCTATTAATTATAGAAGAAATGACAGAATTAGAAAAATCGTTTTGCTACCCCTGTATAATTACCAATCAGGAAAAGTACATCAAAAGACACTAAAATCACTGGGTAAAATGTTGTTTATGAATAGGCTAGTCAGTATCAAAGAATCATCTGTAGATTACCTACTAATTGCAATGGGGGGAAAAATGTAACTTTACACTGAAGAAATCTGATAGTCACCACCTTTCCCTAGAGATCAAGCAGCACTGTGAGGTGCTGATGTGTGATGTTATGAAGGACACCACACCACCTATAGAATATGCATACCAAAAATGGTTAACCTGAATTTTATTATGAGGAAACAATCAAATTCAGAACATAAGACCTATGAGGCTGGGACTCCTCAAAACAGTAAAAAAACACGAAAAAGCAAGAGAGGCAGAAAACCAAAGACTAAAGGGACATAAAAACTGCATGCAATGCATGTACTTTGATTGGATCATAGATCAAAACAAACAGCTAAAAAAAATTTTTTTGGACAATTTGAATATGTTCCACATATTAATGTCATGGAACTATTACATTTCCTTAGTTAAGATAAATGGTATTGTGGCTTTGTAGGAGAATGTTTTGATAGGAGATGCATGTTTAAGTATCTAGGGGTGAAGTATCATGAAGTCTAGTTATTTTGAAATTCTTCAGAAAAATATAGAGAGAGCACACGTGTATGAGAGCATACACATGCAAACTGACAAGCTAAAGAGTAATGGGTATTATTTGTACTATTCTTTCAACTCCTCTGTAGATTTGACATTCTTCATAATAAGACTGAAAAAAACATTAAAAAGGTATCTGTTGATGCAATGTATCATTAAGTGAAACAGTATATATGGTACAATTCTACCTTTTAATCATATTCATACATATGTATTTATAAAAGTGTTAGAGTAATGTCAGCTACTGTGACAAAGGGACCAAAAACGTGATGACTCTGTCAAGATGGAAGTTCAGTTCTTGTGCCTGTGACAGTTCAGGATGAACCAGATCAGCAGGCAGGCAGCTCTCCTCCACCAGGACTTTCAGAGACAGGCTGATAATGGTTCGGTTGTCTTCGACACACGACTTTCAAAGTTGTTACCTTGCAAGTTGAAGTGCGGAGCCAGACACTGAGGCAGAATGCACACATCACTCCCACTCCCACCGGCTGGTGAGACTTTCCTCCTGAGTTCACATCTAGTGGCTGGGGAGACAGAAACCTGCAGTTCAAGGTAGGTGGCCATATCCAGAAGGATTTCAGTGGAAAGCTAGTCGCCTCCAACACAGTCATGAAAAGGGAGTCTTAAAGAATACAGACCAAGCTATTTGCAGTTTTTATTTCAAGGTTAAGGGGGTTGTGAAGGTTTTGAATTTTTCTTAGGCTTGTCTTGATTTTTCCATTATGAACATGCGTTTCTTTTGTAATGAAGAATTACACTTTATAAAAATAAGCCACTGAAACTACAAAAAGATTATTTCACTGGCAAATCTGCAGAATGCTTTATTTTCCCAGTCTGAAAGAAACCTACGTGTTAATCTTAATACCATGTTAAGAATTTTCTACTCAGACCCACAGTCTCTATCACACTGACTCTCAATCCCTTGCTTGAATCTCAGAGCCACTTCCCCACCATCTGACCCCACCTTGCTATCCAGCTTTTGTTCTCTCCGCTCCTCTCACACTCTCTGCTATGGCCCCTGGCCCTGCTGTCTGAGAATCATGCCCGACTTCTTACTCCATCCATACCCTGGCTCTTGAAATCATTACCTGCCTCATGAACCCTGCCTTGACTTCACATCTTTTTCTGTGAGTTCCTTTGGAATTCATAATTGGTGCCACCCAATTTATTGCTTAATTAAATGTTGTTTTGAATTTTGCTGGTATGGGATAATCTTCTCTCTCCCACGGCAAGGTTTTTGTCTTTAGATTCCTTCATGGTGCCTAGCATGGGGTTGAAGACATAGTTGTTGCAAATGATACTTCTCAATTCCCACATTTTAGACATATTCTTTTGAGTAGGAGGTAATTTTGTAGGTGATCTCCATTTGATGGCCAAATCTTTTATGATCCTCAGATGCTCCTCTCAGCTAAATGGGGAATATGAATTCAAATAAAGAATGGAGGAGAAATATATTGTAGCCACACTACATGTGAGAAATACCCAACTGAGATCAGTCTCAATGTGCTACGAAACACTACACTGGGGACGCCTGGGTGGCTCAGTCGTTGAGCATCTGCCTTCGGCTCAGGTCATGATCCCAGGGTCCTGGGATCGAGCCCCGCATTGGGGTCCCTGCTCAGCGGGAAGCCTGCTTCTCCCTCTCCGCCTGCTACTCCCCCTGCTTGCTGTCAAATAAATAAGTCTTTTAATAAATAAACACTACACTGTAGCATTCAAATTTTTTAAAATCTAACATTTTCTGGCCACATACCACTTCCTTACCCCACTGCCCACCACACAGAACTCTACCCCAGAGAACACCATACATACTTGTCCCCAAAAGCACGAAAATGTGTCCCCACCTGTGTAAACTGACAGTGATTTCCACAACACACAAGGGATCAATTTGCATTACAAGAAATACCTAGCAAGTGTCAGAAAATCTGTCATGTTTGCTATCTCAGTCACTTGCAGCTCTGAGTTTCACCCAGAGGCCATTCCATAGTGAGATGGAGAGTAAGTACAAAGACAACTCTACAGTCCCACATACCCCTCCTTCAGGGAGCAGACCCAGTGGTCATCATACATTAATTTAATCACCAAGGCCACTACTGCTTTCAGATCAGTGTCTCAGGCTGAGTCATTCCAACTTGCTAGCATGAGAATCACAGACAGTGGCAGGTTGGCGGGGGGCGGGGTGCCCTTTACCAAAGTCAATGGTACAGACCAGTGCGCAGGATATTTATACATGTGACAGCCCATCTGACTCCAGAAAGCATCTTGTGGCAAAATGGGGAGCAAAGGTTTATTGCTGATCCCACTCTTACCCGGCCCCATCTGGCAGCTGTATCTTCAGGTGGGAGAGACAAATGGGGTTAAGCAGCAATCTGATTCCAGCAGGTGGTACATGAGTCCAAACAACCCCCCAAAAAAACAAAACAAAAAACCCCAAAACCCAAAAAAGGTTACTGATCCTTGTTCTTTATTGTTGTTGAAGTTTACGATTCCAGTAAGCTCAAAACTGTCAACATGGGCAGGACTTTGCTGCTCTTAAGAGTTTTTTTCTAGATAAGAGAAAGTTTAGCCTGCTTTGTGATACGGCCAGCACTCCGTGTAGAACACGCTAAATTTATGGTTCTTGAATACACAAAGGGGTCCACCCTATCCAGAATGCTATAAGCTACCCTCAATTCTCTAATGCTGTTTTTGTGTTTGAGGCACAATGTGAATGTGGACTTTGGAGATTTTGAGGATACACATTTGCACCCACAGTCCCTTGGTCACCCTTCCTATGTTGTTACTGTTTGAATGTCTAGAGTTACCATCTTGATCAGTCTTTCATACTCTCATGAAAATGTATTCATTTTGAATGTCATAAACACACGGTCTTTCTCTGGCACCAGACTGACACTACTCTTTGCCTCTTCCCTTTTATTCCCAGCAGGTTGTACCCTGGTCTACACGTCATAAGATCTGTTCAGCCCAGCTTTCCATCCCATGACATGTGGCAAAATAGGTTTAGTGTCTCCATTGATCAGAATTCAGCAGCACACGCTGGGGGAGGGAGATACCAGTTGCATACCAGTTGAGAATCAGTTTCCGGGGTCTTGGAAATGAGCCATCAGGCAAGAGTTGGAAAATAAGTTGGTCTTGCCTGTCTCTATTTTAGTCTCCTTGCTCTCCTAACCATCTCTGTTCACTGTCACCTGGCCATTCCAGACTCAACATTGTTAGGTCTCAGGTAAAAAATCTCGTCATTCTCACATCCCTGAGGAAATGCATTTCCACTCCCAATCCTTGGGTCTCCATCTTCCAGGCCTAACTAGAACCACGACGGTGTCACCAAGCCGTTACTCCAGTGCCCAGTGCCACTGCATTCTCTGATGGAAGTGCCTTGCCTTCCTCATGTTGATTCTTTCTCTGAACTTCTGGGAGAACCTAGCCCTGGGCAAGGCTATTAGACCAGAAGAGCAAGTTGGGGATTTTTGGAAAACGTTAAGTACAAATATAATAACGCTCTAAAAAAATGTTAATTTTGACAACTTCTTTTAGTTCTTCTTTAGCTTTATTAGGACTTTCTCATCAAATTACAAATAGAGAACTTAGAATCCTCACAAATACCATGTAGCTTGATTTTTTAAAGTTTTTTCTAGTTCGTTTCTTTTTAAATGCTTTAGACTTTGATTTTGAAAGACCGAGCCGCTTTTCTTTCCTCAAAGGAAGAGCAATGTGACATTTCAACTTAGGAACATATGGGGGAAGAAATGAAAATTGTCATTACTGTTCAAAATGAGAAGAGGAAAAGAGTTTTAAAATCAACTTTAAATCAAAATAATTATTGTTTGATAATCTCTAAACGTTGTTAAATAGTTTCCATTCGAGACTTGCTGTGTGAAAAAGAAAAAGTACATTTTCTTAAGATGAGATAAATTTCAACTGACTACTTATAAGACAATCATAAATTATATAGCTTTTGAAAGAAACCAAGAGTCCAGTGTAGGAACTGATCCACCTTCTCTGTTCACATTTGTTCGGATTAGGTGAAAATCCAATAGGATGTTTCACTGGGGGTTTTGCTTTCAACAACAGGTAGTTAATATTCAGTAGCGAGCTAGTTAGCTAGGTAATTTAATGGATGAACATGAATGGACAGCTAATTGCAAAAGCCAACATGTGCATGGCACCTACTGCATGCCTGGCATTGTTCTAAATGCTGTAACACATCTTAACTCATTTAATCCTCACAGAACCATCAAAAAATAGACCACTATTGTTCATGCATGAAAAGAATCTGAGATGCAAAGAGATGAACTAAACTATATCACACAGTAAGTCTGTGAAAGGGCCAGGACTTACTCCCAGGAAGTTTTATTAAAACTACGCTTTAGTGCCCGAGTGACTTACTATGACTTGTCCCACCAAGGATCCTCCTCCCTGGATAATATGATGGGTTTTCCTAAGAGAGGACAGACGGGAATGGCAGAGAACATAAGAGGACATGAATAAAGGCAGAGAAAGCTGAAATGATTTGCTTACGATGACTCAGTGAAGCAAGCACATTCTAAGTATTATAGTTCCTGCCATTGTGACTTTAGTTTCCTGCTGACAAAACACCCTCTTTCAGCTGCAATTTCTGGACTCTTTGAAATGATTACCAACCAGAAGTAAGTTTTATGGAACCAGGAACCAGAAAAGGACGTACTCAGAATGCAGGTGCACAATTCCATATGGAATAGGCACTGTCTAGGGGGCCAAACTTTCACCTTCGGTGCTATTAAAGGCTTGAAGTATAATGAGTGGGTGAAGGAAGGATAAATACGGCTTAACACCCACCCAATAAAAAGTCTTGTTACCAACTCACTCCTTCCAGTTCACCACCGTCTGGGACAAGCAAAGAATCCAGCCCTGGCTGAGGGTGATGGACCCACAGTAATGGTGGACACTATTGTTCCTGATACTGTCACTGTGGATATTGGTAGTCTTAGCCCAGAGAATCTTTCCTGCCTTTGCTTTGGTTAGAAATAAAGGGCTGAAGGGGGCGCCTGGGTGGCTCAGTCAGTGAAGCATCTGCCTCCGGTTCAGGTCCTGATCTCAAGGTCCTGGGGTTGAGCTCTGCATCGGGCTTCCTCCTCAGCAAGGAGGCTGCTTCTCCCTCTCCCTCTGCCTGTCTCCCCAGCTTGTGTGCTCTTGCACTCTATCCCTCTCTGAAATAAAATCTTTAAAAAAAAAAGGGGGGGGGAAGAAAGGGCTGAAGAACAGACCCCTGTATGAGCAGGGTTCGCCACACACTAATGTCAGGTGTTTGTGTTGGGCAATTAAAGCCCACATTTCCTTCTCTGAAAACAGCCTGTCTCATGCTCAGATATGACCTAATGCTTCATCTTTGACATGTCACAATCATTTTCAAGGATTTCTATTAAATTCCAGAATCAAAAAGGTAAATGGAGAACTGATTTGTTAAGTCCTTTCTTTTCCCTGTCCCTTTATATTTGTTTTCTGAAACGACAGAGAGAAACAATAATTATCTGTTTGAAGGCTGTATCCAGACTCTAAATTACAAAACAGGACTTATAATCTTAGAGGATAATGATCTGTCCACCAGCCTTCTTTGCAGAAGACTGACAAGTAGGGGACTTCTTTTAGAATTCAGTTTGTCTTACATTGCGCCCAATAATTCAAAGCTACTCAGAGTATTTTCCTGAGTCAGGAGCCTTGAAATGAAAATGCCACAACTGTCAGCAAGAATGATGAGTGAGATCAATACAAACTGCCACAGTTGGGGAGGGGAGGAGGGGCGTTAATGTAGCACTCTTGTCTGCAAAAGACTGCATCTTCAGAGGATGTTCCAATACTGGACTAATGGGCCTGTAAAAAAACTGAGTGACCCTCTCCCCCGGGGGGTTTTGGGGTTTTGTTTGTTGCAAAGTGTTTCACAAATCATAACACCAGGACCTAAAACCTTAAGGCAGGGGGGCACCTGGGTAGCTCAGTTGGTTGAGTGTCTGGCTCTTGGTTTCAGCTCAGGTCATGAGCCCAGGGTCCTGGGATCAAACCCTGCTTGGGGCTCCGCACTGAGTGGGGACTCTACTTGAGGATTCTTTCCTCCCTCCTCCACCCTTCCCAACAATAAATAAATCTTTAAAAAAAAAAAAAAACCCAAAAAATCATAATGCAAGACTTAACTCCCCTCTCATGACCAGGTTTCCCATACCCATTTACACTGCTTTTATTATTTCTTTGGTGGGTGTAGTTGTGGCAAAGTATATAAAACTATCGAATGTCTGGATAATTTCGGTTGTGTTGGCAAGGCTATGCCGAGCTACTCTGACACTGCAGGAATCATGATTTGGCTGTGCACAGATTTATACTGACTTCTTTACAGAGGACTGACAAGTAGGAGACTTTTAAAAAGATTAGTCTGTCTTAGGTCGCACCCAATAATTCAGAATATTAAACTGAGGTCCCATTTTTTCAGTCCCAACACACTATCTAAATTTCCTTTTCATTGTTAAGTATATGATTACCATAAAGGCCATTTTTCCTCACCCACCCCCCAAAGCAGATCAAATAACAAAAGCAAGAAGTTTAAGGGCATTGTTTCTCCTGCTTTCATATGTAGCCTTTTAACATGAGCTGTTTGGGTTTATGCAAGGGTCAGAAATGCATTCTTTTCATAATGTTCTACAAGACAGACTCACAGAAGTGCCTTCTTTTTATATTGTTCTACAAAATAGACTTATTAACTTTGCTATTATTTCTAACTGATGCTTCTAAATGGATACAGTCCATCAAAGTCTCTCTGGTAAAAGGGCAAATTACGCGTGGCAGGAAGCTCCAGTGTTAGTGCTTAAGGGGCCCGCGCATTCAGCTCCCCTCTCCTCCACATAGCTAAGATGACCTACTTGGCCACTGATACTCAGACACCTTTCATTTTTCGTAGAGTTCTGGTGAGGAGGATCCTCAAGCCGAACCAAGACCGTCCACTAAGAGTTCTGCGGTTAAGTGTGATTCCAAACTTCCAGCAATTGACCAAACATCAGTCAAACAGAAGCATAAAAGTACCATGACTCCAAGGAAAGTGGAGAAGGCAGGCCCCAGCAAACCCTCTTCAGGTGAGTGGCTGAGTTACTGAAACACAAAATCTAAAATCCCAGTATTATAGGTAATGACAACAGTCAAACTGGTGGTATTGGTTACACCTAGGGTTCTCCAAGGGGTGAATTCAGGCTCTGGAGGGTCCAATGATCGTATGCAAATGGTAAAATTCATTTTGGGGTAGAAGAGCAGATCAAGGAGGTGCGAATTATGTAGAGTAACTGTTCCCACTGCCCACATTTCTGACCAATCACTGGCTTTGTGTGGCACTTGCCTAGAATTGGCATTTTTTCATCTTCTTCACCCTTGGGGGGGGGGGAATAAAGGCATTTGGCCCCAGGTATCAAATTTTATGACTCAAGTGAGAGCATGAAGAGAAGCTTCCAAAAGCATCTGAATGCCATAATTTATAGCCAAGAAACAGAGTAATAAAGTCCTCCAGTTCTGGGGTTGTCCTCTCAGGGAGAAAAGGGGCTTGATAAATCCTCCCTTTTGTGCAATTTGGTAAATAATTCACTCTTTAGCTGCCTTTGAAGTGAAGACCAGTCCTCTGCTTGAGGCAGGAGTTATTTAATAGTATCCAGAAAGAGGATAAATTCAAGTGAAAGCGTAGAGTCCCTCAGGCTCATCCCCATCAAAGCCAACATATGGAGGACAAACTGGATTCCTCCGGAACGGACTTCGAAGTTGGGGTAACTAGGCAGAAAGGTCTGCCTTCTGCTTGCAGTAGAATGGACAATCCAAATTAACTGCCGAGGAATTTGTAAATAGTGTGCAATTCATTTAAATACAAATCACAACTACTTTCTAATCCTAAATAGCTCTTGTCATGCAACCACCCGTCCAGTAATGCATTTTTAGAAAATGGCAGCTTTCCCTCAGATTAACCACCCACATTTTGTTGCTTTAATGAAGTTAAAAAAAAAACCAAATTGACTTCTGAAATGATGTCCTTCCAAGCAAAGCCCGAACTCTCTTTCCTTATTTAATCAGGGGAAAGTATCATCAATAGTTAACAATTTCTCATTTTGAAGATTTTTAGTAGGAAGTATGTTTTTAATTCAGCTGTTTAAGAATGGAATAGAGCAGATAAGATCATTCCCCAAATATTTCAAAATACATGTTGTAATTTATTGAATTGGGGATGTTTTTAATAGAAAAAAACTGAATTTAAATTCAAATAATGCAATTCCATTCACTCAATATAATTTCTAGCCTTCTTACTAAAACTGGGTAGCTATTCGCATAGGCTGCTTTGTCATCTGTGGAGAAAAATCATTAAGATGTACAGTTGAGGCCCACGAGACGATTTTGGTCTGTGTGATTAATACAGATGCTTTTCTGACTGAGCAAACTCCATATGGAACTTACAACACTGACAAAAGGAAGAATTAATTCACTTTACATTCTATAAAACATCATGTTTGAAGAATTACTAGCCTGGAAAACACCAAGGTTTAGGCAAGAGAGCCAAGTTGGCAGAAAGATATCTATTTCATCAAATGAGGGATGTTACTTGTAGTAAAAGCTTTTAAAAAGCACCGGCTTTATCGTCCTATTAGGACCCTAGACCATGTCCAAGATCCATGCGGGCAGGAGCTGGACTGGGCCCCAGCTGTCCAGCGAGGCTAGCAGTCCTGGTGACTGATGCCAGTTGCCACAGAAGCCGAAGCAATTGTGCAGCAAACCGCGTTCGCGAAGCTGGCCAAAAGCAAAGCGTTGGTGTGTTGAGATCCACTCATTTTACATGTGTAGATGCACCCTCAGAGTTCCTTAATTAGCACAGTGAAATGAGAGCCCAGAGACATGGTGAGAATTTAAGCGGAGTCTTTTCAGGAAAAGTCTAGTTGAGTGGCGCTAGCAGCTCAGGGGGGAAAAAAAAAAATCAAACGAATACCCTGCTGTTGGAGAAAAAGATTTGGGACCTGAATTATCTGGACACGTTGATCCAATCTACCAGGTAAATTCACAGGTTCTTGCTTTTCTTCACCTCTGCAGAAAAATATTTTCCTAAAGCTTTCTGGGGGTAATCCAAAGTCGGCAGTGAATCACCAAAACTCTTCCCATTTCAGAACTGGGATTCTGTGCAGAATTAAAGCATCAAACCCAGTGAAATCCCTTTGCAACATCTGTGTGATAGGCTAACCTTCCCCCACTGAGCTTTGCTAGACTTTTCCTGAATACAATAATATAGCTGGGAAATGTGGCCTGCCTTACATGCAGATCTGTGTAATGATAACCCATGACATAAAGGAGGTTTTCCTTATATCTATGGGAACTACCATCTAGAATTTAGGCTATTTACAATATAGAACCAATGGTGCCCTCTACAAATAGATTTATAACTGAGAAGGTGTCAGATTTTCATTGGTCTTCACACTCTATTAGAAGGAATTCACGCATTTTAAATTAAGTTCATCTCTTCCACGGAACTGTTGCTAAGTGAGCTGGCTTGTGATCCTCCATGCTATCTCCCTCCGTGTAGTGTTGAGCAAGCGCTTTAGAGTCAAGATGCTTGGATTAGCATCTGGGCCCCATTTCTTATTTGCTGTGTGGCTTTTGGGCGAGGGACTTCTCTGTGCCTCAGCTTCCTCACCTGTAAAGTGGGGGGTGAAAACAGATCCTACCTGCTGGGACTGTTGTAAAGATTCAATGATAAAACGTATCCTCAGCCATTAGAACTGTGCCCGATACCATAAGCACTTGGTAAATTACAGCATTATGATCTCTAGGATGTGAGAACTGTATTCACGAGAGAATGAACTAGAAACCCTTGTTTTCTGTCTTAATGTTGTCCCCCCTCCCCACAATCTTTTTTCCCCTTTACCAAAAATCAAAGTTGTATTTTTAAAATCCTGATATAAATGCAGGTACAGACACTTTTACTACACCCTGAATTTCCAAAGCACAACACAAAAGGGGAAAAAAATGAATAATCAGAAAGCATTCACCAAGCCAGAGATTTGCTTTATCTCCAAAAAGACTTGGAAAATTCAGGCAGTGAGTCAAGACCCAGCTGTGTCTGATGTGCAATGGATTCAGAAATCCTATTTCATGATCAAGGTGAACACAGATACAGGGTGGGAGAGAAGCCTAGCAGAGTTACATACTCTTCCTTCAGAATTCTGTCTGGATCCGTGAGAAGCAGAGCAGTCTGCAGGCCCAGCAAATGCTGGGGGACAGAGAAGCGAAGGGAGCTACCGTGGCCTCCAACTCCTGGACTCCTGCCCGCATCCAAGACTCCACCCAGCCCTAGCCTGACTTGTAAAGGAGCCACCTCTCCTTTCCAGAACCCGCAGAGGCATCCAAAGGCCACTGTGCTGTGGGGTTCCGGCGCCTGGAGCCCTGAAGACCTCTCTGCCTCAGTGCCAGGCACACGGGAAATGAGTGTGCCCTCTCCTGTCACCTAGAGCTTGGGCACCGTCTCCTAGTTATGTGCCAGGAAAACGGATCTGGATGGAGTCATGGAGCCTGCTTCCAAAACCTTGCCCTTTAAAACAAAGCCAACTGTTCTGAAATTATCCTCACTTATTACTGAGTTCAATGTTAGTCATTACCAGATTCACATTTGTAGGAGTAGCAAAACCTATTCAGCTTAATAATGGCTTATTGTGAAGATGTATTCTTGTAAAGCTAAGAAACAGCAGTGAATTCAGATTTAAAAAGATAAACATCTAACATAACTATGGTCTTTTTTGAGTTGGGAAATATTTATTTGAATGGTAGCCTGGAAGAGAAATTTGAGGCAAATTCCAAATCTTCAAAACTTACCTTGCAAATAAATCCTGATGAAGATTTTCTCAAAAGGCCAAGATTAATGAATTTCCAGGCATGTCCACTGGTGTCCCAACAACTGTCCAAGCCATCTGCCCAAGTTAGAAAACAACCAACATAAGTGAATGCTCCCACTTTTATAGAGAGAATCAATTCTCAGTCATTTATGGTAATGCTCCTGAGACCAGTGGGGCTCAGGGACGTCACAGAGTCCAGAATTTGAAGTCCTGGTTCAGAATCCTCCTGGTCTATCACTTTATAGCCCTATAAATGTGAGCTGGCAACTTCTCTGAACTCAGTTTCCTTATCAGTAAAATCGAGTTTATTACCTATTTCACCAGGTAGACAAGAAGATTAAAATCTTGGGGAGAGCCTAAGCCTTACGTAGAGGTCAGTCCCCAATTCTCCCTCTGCTTATGAAGCCTACTCCTGCCACCACCTGCTGCTCCAGGGTTGGCATCTTTTTATAAGCCGCTCAACCAAAGCCATTTTAATTTGAGATATGAGAGGTTATAACTTTATTATAAAAAATTTTAGGGGCGCCTGGCTGGCTCAATCAGAAGATCCATGCAACTCTTGATCTTGGGGTCATGAGTTCAAGCCCCACGCTGGATGTAGAGAATACATAAATAAGTAAATAATAAACTTAAAAAATGTTAACTATCTGATTATCAATGAGGTCATCCACTTATCCGGTACCTCTGGGATGTTAGCAAATCCATCCAATCGGCCCTGCTGTCCCAAGGAGGAGGATACCAGGATGCATTAATTTCCTCATCTATCACCCATCCATTCTGCACTTTAGCATTCTGCTCACTACATGCTTACCTGCCAGGCGCTGCGTGGGTACTGGGGACACCGAAATGATAAACAAACAGGACCTGCCCTCCAGGGGCTCACAGCTTAGTGGGAGGGCAGGGCACCAACATGTCCCTACAAAGGTAAGTTCCACGAGCTTGTAGGCAGGGACAAGTGGGGTGAAATTCCTAAAGGACGGGAGATGTAACCAGGGGGAAAGGCAAGAATGATGTGCCCCACAGGAGGTACGAAGTATGCAAAGCATGGAGGAGAGACAAAGAAGAGGGGGAAAGACAGACACACATCGAAGAATGGCAAGTCGTCTAGGGCCTTGGGCCTTGGAGCGTCCCCAGACTAGAGTAGAGGCATCACTTGAGAGCTTGTTAGAAATGCAGAACCTCAGGTCCCAGCCCAGATTTACTGAACCTGAACTTGCCTTTAATAAGATCTCTGGGATATTTGTATGCACATTTGAGTCTGAGAAACTCTGCTTCAGGAAGTGTAGAGTATAAAGCAGACACCCTACAAGTAGGCAAGGGCCAGGTGCCCAAGGGCCTTGAATGTCAAGCAAAAGGCACTGAAGCCTCAGCCAGGGAGGGGATCTAAGTGGGAAGCGATGCAATCCAACTGGCATTTTAAAAAGCAGACTGTAGCATGGAAAGGGGGCTGGTAGAAGGTGAGGGCCGTCTGACAGGCTGAGACACCAGGCAAACTGTAGGTGCAGTGCAGCCAGAAACAAGAAGGGCTGGGCCGGGAGTAAAAGCAGAGGGGACGGGGGAACGACTGGGCTTGAGGATGTTCAAGGAAGTACACCTGGCGGAACTTGGTGACCCCTAAGTGTGAGGATAAGGAAAAAGGAGGAACTAAAGAGAAGCTGGAGTTCTGGCCCGGAAAACTAGGCCAGTGAAGGATGCCTTTGCCAAGGCTGAGAAAGCAAGAAGAGAGTGGGCCCCATTCCGTGAGTGTTGTCTCTGAGGGGCAGGCAGGCTGCCCAGAAGGAAACACTAGGAAGCACCTAAGGATCCAGGTCTGTGGCTCAGCAGAGAGCTCCTGGCCGCCAGCAGGAATCCAAGGGCCTGGAGTGCAAGGGGGCTGAAAAGTGTCTTCCCAGACAGTGTGTGGAGCAAGCAGATATGATGTGGAGAAGGAGAGAAGGACAAGACAACCGCAGAGAAACAATGTGAAAAGTAGGAGCTGCTCCAGGAGCCTAGGGAGACATTTGGGAATGAAGGAACAGATAATCACGTCAAATCCTACACAGGATACAGTAAGGACTGAACGCCCCCCCCCCCAATTATACTGGAGGTAATGGTTTTCAACTGGATGGTTCGAATAATGGCATTTTGGAATTGGAACTGATTTTCAGCTGCACTCTTTCCCAAATTTCTCTGATAAGAATCAGCAGAGAATCTCGGCGTCAGAATCTCTCAGAATCACCAATAAAGCCGCCGGCAAAAACCACGTCTTTAACAAGCACGACAGGTGACTGTCATCGCAGAGGTTTGGACACCCGTCTCAGAGCCTTGCTTCTAGAACTTTAAAGTTGATGAGAGATACCTGGGGACTTTGATAAGCCGCAGGTTCTGATTCGGTAGGTTTGGGTGGGCCGAGATTCTGCATTTCTAGAAGCTCCCAGGGAACATCTATGCTGGTGGTTGAAGGACCACCCTTGGAGGATCAAGGCTAGAGAAAACACCTGTCTCACTGTGCAGATGAGGAAACAGGTTTCAAGGAGGTAAGCAGTTGATCCAAGGTGACCCAGCTGGTTCGTGGCAGAGCTGAGAGATTTGTCACGCACGAGGGGGTCTCTCTGGATCGTGACTCCATCAGGTGCCCACACTCAGCCTCCAGCAAGGCTGGCAGATTGTGATGTTAGCGAACAAATCATTAACTTCACTTGGACGCCTCCCTCGTCCACCTGCTTCTTCCCTGCCTTGGTCCCTCTCCCTTTCCACGATCCCACCAGGATCTCTCGGCTTCCTTCTCTTTTCCCAAGCCTCCTCTCGGTAGCAGAAAGGCCAGATTAGGGCATGACTGCCACCTCCTCCTGCGGACAGCTGGAGGACTGGTGGGGGGAGAGTCTTACCTAGGTGAGCCCCTGCCAGCCCACCGCTACGTTAGTGCCAGCACAGCTAATTAGACTGGCTGTGGGAGAGGAGAAGGGACCCAGCGCCTCCATGCAGCAACGTGGTGGGGAAAGAACTTTCTTGTGTCTGGCAGGGACGCCAGAGACTACTGGCTGGAAAAGGGTGTGATGATGAGGCCATGTCCCTCAGTTAACTCTTCAGTGACTCTGAGATCCAAGACTGCTGCCCCTAGGACACCTGGACACACCAGCCCAAAAGAACACTTTTTGAGTTCTGATTCATTCACAGGCTTTTTTATGTCCTTTCCCACCGTGAGTGCTGCTTCCTGACTGCTCTTTTTCTTTTGTGCAGGTGACAGCAGCGAGCACCCCCTGTTCTGTGTTGAATATTCCCCTTACTGTTCCGTCTTTGCTTTCTCCCCCGTCCAGCAGCCCAATTCCAATTACTGCTGCCTCCTCCTGCCACTCATGCCACCTGCCTCCCCGGCGGCCCAGGCCCCCTCCCCCCACCTCCCCCCGGGGCCCGTGCCCTCCTTCATGAGCCCGCCGTCCCCGTCCCCGGGGCCCGTGCCCGAGTCCCCGGCCGCCCTGTGCTACTTCCCCGTCTCCTGCCCCACCCCGGCGGAGACCCCTGTGCTGTGCCTGCCGGGCCCCCGGAGGCCCAGTAAAATTTACCTGGTGTGGTAAGTCGCCCTTGGCCAGGCACGCAGCACAGCGCCGTCGGGGAGAGAGGGACGCGAGGCTTCCAGAAGGCAGGTGGACGGAACGGGGGGGGGGTGGCAGCCGGAGGACGAGGCCACCAACAACTCCGGGGCGGTGAGGTGTGCAGGGGAGCAGGAAGACGAGACAGCCGCTGCCCCTCCTCCCCACCTCCTCGTACGGCCGAGGAGTGAGCAACCAATAAAATCCCGTCATCTCGCGAGACTCCTCCGATTCCTTCACTCCCACGTGGGGGCTCTTCTGTGGCGCGGGAGCCACGTGACCGGGCGCGAGGCGACGCGCCGCGCAGGTCCCGGGACGGGGCGGGGGGGCTGGGTGTCAGGTGCCTCCTGAGGCTCACGCTGGAACCGGAAAGCCCTTCAGAACCGCGCTGAGAGGGGACAAATTAAAGGGTTCAGTCACTGTTTACATTCCCTTTCCTGCCTACTTATTAGGCACCACATTTCCCCAAATCAAAACTCCCACCTCCTGGGCTCCAAAATAAAACATATTTATGGTACATAATTAAGATCTGCTCAGGGAATGTGAGACGACGCACGTTTCCAGCACACCCAAAGCAGCGAATCGACGCGGCCTGTTGTTTGTGACTGTACGGCAAGCTGCCTATCACACCAAGGAAGCACCGGCTCTTGAGATTAAGCTGTAATTCTTCCCACCGTCTAAAGGAAGCGATAAGTTTTAAAAGAAGGCCTCTCTTAGAATCTTGGCACCTCCTAGTCAAGAGGCGGGGAAATGGGCGGGGGGGGGAGGAGGTTTAGGAATTGTAATTTTCTCTGTTTCTTTTCGACTTTGTCAAGAACCGTGTCTGTGTATTGCAAGTGACGTCAAGACCTGAACGATGATCAGGCACATGGAAAGAACACGGACCATTAAGTGGACTTGGTTCTCAGTCAGCAAGGCCTCGTATAAATATAAGATGACTACCTGTCTTTTTCCTTTTCTGGTCAAATTAAGAACTATTCAGTCAACAATTACAGTGTCCCAGCATCATCAAGAGAACTAGGGCAGACACCTTTGATCTAAATAGCCATTGGGTTTCTTTGCTACTGGAGGCATCACCTTGCTCAGACACTAGAAGAAGTTGCGGTGTAAAGCAAACCAAAATCTCCCCCAAATTCACTGACAGACTTCAGGGTGTTAAGTTGCGGAAATGAGACTCCTGAGCACAAATCTCTCCCTTCTCTCGAAGGCAAAGGGTCTGTCCTACCCCCCGAAGAGTGTAAATGTATAAATATAACTTGGGTCTTCCTGCAGGTTAATGTATGTCCCATGCCCCAGGGAGGACCATCCTGGAAAGGCCCCAGAGGTCTGAAGTTTGGTTCGATTTGGGTACAGGTAAGGTGATTAGGAACCGGAATCAGGGTCCATACAAGCTATGCAGCCTAGGTCGCCTCATTTGTGACTGCAATTTCAGGTCGTGAAAAAAGAATATTTTGTTAAGAGTTTGCTTTCCATAGAATCCAAAGGGTATCACAAGGAACAAGTCAACGGTGCAGTCCAATTGGATTACAGTCTTTAAGGTCATGACCAAAATGTCTTACTCATCTTTGTGAACCCTCAAATTATTACATAGCAAAGCACACAGGTATTTGTTGAATGGATTATAATAGGGAGTTGTTATTTGCCTTTTGGATTTTATAGAGGATTGAGGGAGGGAGTCAGCCAGAACTGCACAGCAATGAAGGCTGCTGAATAGATTATTCTCAATCCATGAAACCTGCATAACAAGTTTCTGGTGCAGTCCAGTTCTCTCATGGGAGTGACTTCAGATTCCCAGTTAGTAGTTGTAATAGTAGTAGTAAACTGTTTATGGTAGAAGCTGCGGCTACCATTTAGAGCAACAAATAAACACCTGACACTGAGTGAGGCCGTTTATGTACGTTATCGTGAAACTTGGCAATAATTCAGCAAAGTAGGAATATTCCCATTTTACAGCTGCAGATACTGAGGTTCAAACTGCCCAAAGTCAGAGGCTCCTGCCCACACTACCAGCTTCACCACCAGACCTATTAAAAACAATCTCTAGGTTTTCAGCTTTATGACTTTAATTTGCTGAAAACTCAGAGATGATATGGTAATTTTTAGAAAGCATTTAAAAGATCTGGTGCTTTGAAGAAAGCATTTTTTTGAACAAGAAGACAAAATAACCTGTTAAATTAAGTCATGTTGGTTGTTTAGCATGAGAAAAAGTTTATTCTACTTTTGGAATCCCCTGTAGTAGCTGGGTAGCTGAATGCATCTTCGGAAGTCCTGCAAATCACACTAAGTAATATGACTATTTGTCCTACAGGAGACACGGCAATATAAGGCTGGCTAAGACAGGATCCTCATCCTTAAGGAGCTTACTGTCCAGTAGGAGAGAAAAGATGCATACCTTAGGCAATGTTAGAATATGCAAATGCTAAAGGTCCTAGGAATCCTGAAAGTTCTGGCCAAAGCAGAGTCAGAGCAGAGACAGGGGCCATAAAACTGGAAACAGACCTAGGAGGACCTCCTGGCTGGGACAGGCTAGGGAAGAAAGGTCCTTGGGGAGGAGGATCACACCCCTGGACTGTGTGAGGGTGTGGAGGGGGCTGGGGGTTGGGGGCATGGGGCTTTGGGCATGTGAAGTTCTGCTGCCTGGCGTGTGAAGGAAATGTGAATATTCTGATGGGATCCCTGCTAGGAATCAAAGTGCAATCCTTGTGCCTAGGACCTTTGGGCCCGAGCCCCAAGCCTTCCCCTTCCCTGGTGCCCCCTCTGTTGCTTCCTCAGTGAGAATTCTGTTGCCTCCTGCCCTGTCATCAGGTGAGGGGCAGGAGGGAGTTGCTGACTGCTGATTACTGGGAGGGATGAGGTCCTAGGTGACTAAGGAGAAACTCTTGGTGCTGAGAGGCTGCCTCCCTCACCTCCTCTGTGCTGGGTCCTATACTGTAAAGCCCCTCCCACTCTCCTTGAGGTCAGGAAACTGTGTCTCATCACCGCCCTACATCCTCTGAAGAATATGTCCTCATTTTCTGGAGAACTCCCTTCTCTCCTTCCTGGTCACCTCTCCAGGCTCCACCAACTCGCCCCACATGAGCCTCCACCACCGGCAGCCCCCTCTTTCTAGCACATCCCCAGTAGAACATAGTCCCCTCTGTCTTGGGGGGCACAGAACCGAATGCCTCCCCCTCCTGGGGCCCATCAGGAGAAGTAGGTAGTACCCAATCATTGTATTAAACTTGGCTTCATGAGCCGCCCTGGAAAACTTTCATTCATTTCCTGAATCTGGACGAAAACTATTCATGCAATCACAACTTACACTCTGGAACATAAATCCAGTTGTCTTCACCGGCCAAGAATGGCTGCTCTCCCGCACACGACTCAAGGACCTTCCCAGTTTTACCCACGTTGCCTGCTGGCATGGTTATTTGTGAAATTTCTGAACTGTCCAAGAGGGGATGAGCTGGGCAAATTCTCTTGGGAAGATTTAGTTCAGATATTCACAATGTAACTGCCTTTTAAACCCAAGAACTTGCAGAGGGGCGTGGAAAATACCGGAACTCTTGCCCCAAACTCCACAGGCGCTAACGCTTCATACACACACGGAAAAAATGTGAGATTATTCAACCCAATTAGCGACCCAGTTCAAAATGGGAATTAAAAAAAAAATTCATTGGGAACTCGATCTGTGTTAGCATTCCACCTACCGTCTTCCTGTGAGTTTATCATTCTGGCACAGTGGTGGGTAACACATAACCAAGAAAACAGGTATACTTGATAGCCCAGATGCCTGGAACCTTTCTGGAAGGCCATGTGAGCTGCTAATAAACCACCTGAGGATAGGCAGGAACAAAATCGGCTGTGATTCAACCTTGGAAGAGCAGTTGGGGAGAGGGCCTTTGTATGTCCCAACTGCAGGTTTTGACAGTGTTACCAATATGTCCATCCCGACATCTATGAACTGGAAGCTAGACACTTCTTAGCAAAAGGACACACCCCTTATAGACTCTGCATTACAGGTGTCACACATGCTCATTCATGGTGATAACAACCTTGCAAAGTAGGTATTATTTTCATTTAACAGGTAGGGAAACTGAGGCTTCAAGGGGTGAAGTGATCTGCCCAAGCTCACACAGCTCCAAGGTCCCAGAACCAGGTTCCAGATCCACGTCTTCTCTGACCACCTGGGCCCAGTCTCTTAACTGCCTTCCCCACTGCTGGGCCCTTTGAGTATTCTTTATGCGGAAGCTGTTTCCCTGTAAAAAAAAATAATAATTATTATTATTGAAAAGCTTTTGTACCTTTCAGCAGCCCAGGCACCACAGATTTTATCAAGGAAGAGGACGCCAAACCTGGGGAGACTGACAGTCAGCCCAGAAACGCAGAGCCCAAGAGTGCCGGGGGACAGAAGCAGACCGAAGGCACAGGCCCTCAGGGGACCAGGTAAGGACTCGTGGCTCATGCGTCTTGGTCCTCGGAGAGAACTGACTTGCACTGTTACCCGCCCCCCCGTATGGTTTTTAGACACTTATGCTTTTATGTGAAGGAGAGTGTACCTTAAAATGAAATGCTTAAAAGGTTTTGAAAACAAACCATTGGATCTACTTCCTTCTCTGAGAACAGGAAAAGGTAAGGCAGGCAGAGAGTTTTTTCTTTTTTCTCCCATTTATTCCATTAAGCGTGATTGTGCATGGTTTTGAGTGGAGACCAGCAATTTGGCTTCTGGAGAGGGCATCTGGGTGGCAGGTGGTGGGATCAGGGTGGGGAACGAGGGGTGGAGAAGCAGTGTGCAACTCTGGGGATATCTCATCTGGCCCAGGAGGGGTGGGTGCATGGGTGTCTGTGGGTGGCAGACTGCTCACATCCCACAGGGATCTTCTCACCTCCGACCCAGGGTGTCAAGATCTCGGTGTGTAAGAAATAACATCAGAATAAATATATGCTTTATTTCCAAACACTGGTTTAGCGGATACCTCCTCTTTCAGTCCTGAGCATCCAAAGACCCAAGCCATGCCGCTCCACTGACCACGTTACCCTCCCCTGTGGTGGCAGAAGGAACAGGACCCAAGGAGCCTCCATGGGACTCCAAAGAAAGTGACACTTGACAGCCAACCTTGCCATGGACCTAGTCTTCCCCTTGGAGAAACCACTGAGCGTCCCACTTCCTCACCACCCAATGAATGCAGTAGGCTTTATTTTAACATGTGATCTATGCTTTGGTGGACACCTGTAAATGTA